TCTGTAACAAATTTCGCCCCTCGTAACTTCTGACGGATATGTTATCTACCGTCGACAGGCTCGATTTAATGATTCTACCGGTGAAATATGTTCCACCAGAACATCAGCGCCAGCCTGAGCGCGGGTCGTGAAGTCGAAACCAAAAGTTCAAAATTCCAAAATCGTTGCGTTGACGTGGTTTGAATTATATACAGTCGGCACCTTTCGTTGTCATCAATAATTTCACCCAATTTCTCTTTGAACCATGAGATGTTTTAATTACCGATAGCGAGCTCTTCTTTTCGTTATCGTATCATTTGAAGCTTCTGTGACTTACAGTATTCAATCGCGCTGATTGCACCCTCCTTTGAGAACGAGTAGCGTCTCCATAGCTGAATGGTTTCTTCACCGTCATCTTGTGTATTTTTTTTGAGTCATCGCAATGCTTCTACATCTCCAGCTGCAAGAAATCCTTTAGCAATTTCTGAATGTAGACTTTTTTGCAGTTTGCCTCAGTTAAGCATCTATTCAGAACTGCTTTCGGGACGGAACACCGTGAGGGACATGTGCCTGCATTTTATCGGGGAATTTCGATGCAGTAAGTGACTATTCCCTTTCTCACCGACCGAAAACGAATGAGCAAAAATTATATAGTTTTTTATTTTCTGTTAATGACTGATATCCAATCAGTTCGTTTCTAATTGGGCTATTTTGTTTTAAAGGTTATGCCCTGTAGCGTTAACATCATATAAACATACTATAGCATTACTATATGATTTGCAAGTCAATATGAAGCTTTATATCTCGACAAACACTTGCGTTCGTATCAGTTTGTTGCGTTTGCTGGGTACAGTGAGGATGGTGGCCGTGTGTAATGAGTAGCAACGTAGTATTGTTGAACATGTTGGAATTTGCTCTGGTAGCATTTTCGGGCCAACTGTTGTCTACATTTGTTTCTGTGATTCGTTGTGGCTGTTCGCAGTTTTGAGCGAAATCTTTTTAGCACGTTATTGCATAAGTTGCTTTTTAGTGGCGGCGGTACTTTGATCGTTTGTGTTCATAAACTGTACATAATCAGACTGATTTGTCGGAAAAGTGAGTACGCTAAGAAATGGTGACCGTTAACAGCGATCAGCAGCACGATTCGCGACCGGAGACCCCGAAGAATCCGCTGACGCCTCAGTGCGTCGGTCGAGAGTTCGTTCGCCAGTATTACACGTTGCTTGGCGGTGTGCCGGATTTGATGCACCGCTTCTACAGCAACGAATCGGTGATGCTCCGCGGAAACGATGACGAGCCGACCATCGGCCAGATGGACATCAGCCGAAAGTTCAGTAAGATGGGCATCATCGACTGCTACACGCGTGTCAGGACCGTTCATTCCAGCGAAACTGTAGCGAAAGGCGTCGTCGTGCAGGTAGATGTGCATTTCTTGTTGTTCTTCTTGACGATATGTGTGCTCACTAATTTTTTTTGCTAATCAACATTCAGCAAGCACATACCTTTTAGTTTTGTTTTGAACCTTTGGTTTCGATCTTTAGTCTGTTGTGTATTCCTGATTGACCTAAACCTCAGCAAACTTTAACTGATCTTCTACCATCCGCATCACAACACATGCTACTAAACAATGCTGTGACAGCCCTGTCGACTTTAACAATGATATAATCCGATTTTGTTAAGTAATGCGTTGTTGGCATTCTGTAAACACATTGCTGTTCAACTCTTTAAAGGTTTGCTCTTTTTCAGAGTAATCGTACTCTTCGATTCTCCTGTTGAATCGAAATAAAATAAACTACTAGGATGTAAGAATATTTACGTTTAGAATATTTGCGCTCTTTGTCCAGTTCTGTAAGGCTTACTATAGAAATTGTAAGGAAATTATTAGGCCTTGTATGGAAATTTATCACTTAATTTTAAATCATCGTCAATCACGTTTACAAATTCGCAGTTTGCACCTACCGATAAATGGTATAATTGATAAGTGAATAACTGGTATGTTTGTCACATTCTTATTTGCTTCTTGATTAGTCGATGAATTCGACGCATCTGCCACACTTGCTTCGTATATACACCCATCTGAAGCCTTTAGATGTTACAGATTTAAATGTCATGGTGTAAGCATAATCAGCATTTGCTGTAATATCTTATGGTTCAACTATTACTCGCATCCGTTAGGTCCTGCGAGATGTATCGCTTTTAGATTAAGCCTTGTGACCCGTATCATGCGTGATATAACGGTCCGCTCCGTTGCGCCCTGAGCGACATTGCCTATTTAGATTCATGAATCGCTTTTTACAGAAGATAATAACAAGTCTTGAAATATCTTAGCATATCGTATCATCATATTCTCTTAGAAGGCATATTTCTACGTGAAACTGACATATATT